GTTATTTATAAAAGGGTTGAAGAAAAATTGCGTTTAATCCCAAGTTGTATTTCATCCATTCGTTTTTTTTAATTCCCGTATCTTCTTTACAAAACCAAATTCTTTTTTTGGCCAAATTTGAAGCGAAAACTCTAAAAATTCTATTGCTAGGTGTGTATAATAATATTTATACGTCGTCTAGTACAAAAACAGTCGCAGGTAGCCGCCCACTGCAAAACTTATGTCTTTTCTTCGCATGGGTAGATAGAGATGAAAATATAGTAGCATATAATTATTTATGTACACCTAACAGGCGACCAGTTTTGCAGTGGGCGGCGACCTGCGATGATTGACGCGAGTGTTTTTATACTAGAAGAGCAATAGATTCATACATTTTGAAATGAATTTTGTAAACAAATTACATTTTTTATCTAAAAGTGTCAATAATTGCATCTCATGTCTTTTTCACATGAAATAAGCCAAATCGGTTTGTACAGAGGTTAAGAAAACATTGTAATACAAGAGTAACGATTCAACGAGCATTCAATAAACGAATCGAATGAGAGGAAGACAAATAAACAACATGCCAAGAAATGACTTAAAAAGGCCGATGCTCGATAAATTAATTTTGTAAAATTTGGTACTTATTTTATCTACAGATTAGCTTATACCATCCCACATGTTCCACCACTACCTATTTTTAACTAAAGGACAATGCTGTGCTACCAACTTTGGTGGTGTTCTATTTGCGGAGAAATAGGTACCCTTTTCATAGGTTTACAGAAAGACTTTAAGTCCAACCATTAATAAATGCATTAATCAAAAGGGAAGAATTCTTTCTCGACGAACCAATTTGTAACAACATTTCACCATTGATCCTGATTGCAATTGATTTAATCATACTTAAGCATTAGCAGTTAATTTATCAGAAACGGGTTTTGATCATAGTCTGTAATCAAGATGATTTAAGCGCGATTGCGATTTAATAAAATCGGAAAATTACGCTAAATTTCTCATAAGCTGAAATAAGTGCACGTTTGCAAAAAGGCAAAGACGGTAATTTAGGAAAAAAAAAACAAAAGAAAAAATAATCGCATTCGTGCACAAATCCGTTAAAAATAAACCTCTTCCCCTTTGCAACGTCCATTATTTTCAGAATTAAATTATTTTATAAAACCGGTTGCAATAAAACATAAAAGCGATGACCAGATAAATGCGATTCGTTTTAAGTTAGTTTGCTGGAATGCGAGCCACCTTTAACTCCTTACTAATTACTTACAAGATGAGGGAAACGCTTAGCATAAAATGTGTGAGTTATAGC